TGGATTAGAGGGAACGAAACAAGTGACATAATTACTGTGTGTTGGCGATAGACAGCGTGCAGTGACCTCCTGACATCATACGGTTAGGGTTAGGGGTAGGGTTTGGGTTAGGTTTATGGTTAGGGTTGCTACTTTGAGTTTGTGCGAAGACGAGATGCAGCGACACTAACCCTAAACCTAAAACTACCCCTAACCCTTACCCTAAAACTAACCCAACACCTAACCCTAACCTACCCTACTCCAAACCGTATGATTATAGCAGGGCAGTGCACGCTGTCTATCGCCAACACACAGTAATTGTGTCAATTGTTTCGTTCCCTCCTTTTCCACTCCGTAATTGCACTGTAGCCAAGGGACAGTGTTGTCTACCCGGTCTACCGGCCGTAGAGAGCCCGATATTGAAATGCCTGTAAGAAGGGAGCAGTGGGTATAACTTCTACTGAATTAATTCGACATCAGTTATAATCTGCTTACCGTGCATTAGGTAGATCATTTGTACTTTGCAAAGAGCGGACCGAGGAGCCGCTAGAGCATCGATGGAAGGCGTGAAGTGTCCCGCAAACACTGCAAGATCTCCAGCTGTATCGTCTGCTCAGGGAGACAGCCATCTTTGTAAGGGAAACCATTCTTGTTGCCAGTTCAACTCGGTTGATAAAAATGATGGAAGTGGGACCATATGGAAGAGCCTCCGCCAGTAGTCCGTTTTAGTTTTACTGAGCAAGAAATGCTTGAAGTAACGAATTTATCAGCTTCTGTTCCACATTGGTGAGTTGACTGATAATCGTTTTTCAGCAGTTGGGAACACTGTTGTTTCTTTACACTGTTTAACCGGCTCTCCTGTCAAATTTGGCCGGTAAGCTGGACTGCTTGGACTGCGTCGGCCGGCTTAGCGGGACTTAGTGGGAGTTATGTCCCCGTGGCCGCACTCAAAACAAGTCTCGGAAAAAGTCACGAATCAAATGGCATACTTACCTATCATCATCCGGGTGCGTGTAGGGTTGCGTAGGGTGTCTATCATCGTCCTACGGTTGCGTGTAGGGCTGCTTATTGCGTGTAGGTTGGTTGTTTGCGTAAGATGAGGTTTATGGTTAGGGTTTAGGGTTTAGAGTTAGGGGTAGGGTTAGGTGTAGCGTTAGATGTGACAATTGTGACGCCATAGTTCCCTATAATCGCGCACAGTCGCATGCATGCACGCGCAAACAGTAGATGGACGGTGGATGCTACTGACACGGACAATTCGCCACCGATTGGGCACCAGCCGCCCGCTATTGGCGTCGTATTTGGCAGAGTTTCAGTGGCGCCACTCCCACACACGTCAGATTGTCGGCCACTATTTCGACCTCCTGCGTGAAAATTTTCACATCGAACCATACCCCTAACTTTAACCCTAACCCCTAACCCTAAACCCTAAACTCTACCCCTCATCTTACGCAAACAACCAACCTACACGCAACAAGCAGCAGCCCTACACGCAACCGTAGGACGATGATAGACACCCTACACGCACCCGGATGATGATAGGTAAATATGTCATTTGATTCGTGACTTTTTCCGCAACTCGTTTTGAGTTGTTTTGAGTTTGGCAAAGGGACATAACTCCCACTAAGTCCCGCTAAGCCGGCCGACGCAGTCCAAGCAGTCCAGCTTACCGGCCAAATTTGACAGGAGAGCCGTTTAACCCTTTGCATAGTTAATAGTTTCTTTACTTTAGTCAAATTTTTAAAATGCCCTCTACAATAATAAAACCAGCACAGTAAGATAGCTGTAAACAATCTCTTTCCAACGGTACCTAATTTAGGCTTGTATGTCATTTCTGAGCTGAGATATGTAGGTTTTTGTGGAGATGAGATGTAAAAAAACAGCTGCTAAAACTTGTCTCCCAGAAACAAGAAGTTTTCTCTGCGCAACCAAACTGCGCAACTTTCGTTTTGGCTTTGTTTACATTGGACTGTCATTGGACAAGATGGCAGCCAATGACGAATGAGACACAGCCACATAATAGCGATTGCCTGAAAAAATGTCACTGTAAATCTAAACAGCCACGGACAAGAAATAAATTTTATACACAAATGTAAAATTGGACGGAGAATTCAATTATAACTAGCATTACCATGTCTGGTAATGTTTAAGGCCAAAGCCAACCTTGAATACTTTACCGCTATTTTCAATCAAACTGATGTAACAGAAAAACAGAGGACGTCTGGCTGTCGTAGACATGCGCTGTTAATCGGGTTCCTTCCCGCTGTTTTCAGCTATTTAGAGTGGGTGAAAATCACACCAATCGCAAAATTTCATGAGAGATTTGGACTCATCCTGAAACCCCAGCCGACATTTCCGAAGCAAGTTCGAACGGTTTCCGTGGTAACGGAAATTGCCAAAAGATCGCAAATTTCCAGACACCGTAGTCGCTACTTTGCAGACGGAACCTTTTTTGGAGTTCAGTGCCGAGAAGACGGAGCCTTCAGGAAGGGATTCTCATAGTTTATACACAAACAATTATGAAAAATAAAGTGTTTAATTAACATATACAAATCTGTATATATTTGTATAGGGAATTGAAAGAACGGCTCTCCTCTGAACTTCTACCCGATATTATGGCGGCCAAGCAAATAAACTAAAAGGGCCTCAGTCGTGTCTAAAATGCGGACTTTCTGCCAAGGAACAAATCGCTGTAAAACTAGGATTACTTGACAATTTCAAGAGACGCAACACTGCAGATGATAGTACCAGACGATAATAGTGACTCTTGACAATTTTAAGCGTTTTCGCACACGATACTAGCAGACGATACTAGCGACCATTGACAATTTCAAGACACGCAACATTACAGATGATAATAGCCACATGGCAGGTAAACCACGCGCTCCAACGCAGATTAGTGTCGTTGTTGTCCTCTCACTTTTCGGCATGCGCAAAACGTGGTTAAACTCACAGTATCCCCCGCTACACGCGGCACGGATGGGGATCTAAACTAGATGGGCTATCCTCCGAATAACGGGCACAAAAGATGGCGGCCAAAAACAGGGCCTCAGTCACGTGTCAACTGCGCACTTTCGGCGACTTAATTTGCGGTTTTCCGGCGACTACCGCCACCACCGAGAGTATTCCCCACACCATGTGAGCGGCGTGGATTGGGGCTAAACTAGATGGCTAGGACTCACGAGCAGAGCTGCAGGAGATGCGGAAGCTACGTACAGTCCGCGGTGCGGCATAGTCGCAGAAACAGGTCCACAATTCACATATCACTGAGACCCTGTTAGAGCATTTGTTTCGTTATTCGGAGCCGATCCTAGTTTTGTTCCTTGGCAAAAAGTCCGCATTTTACACATGACTGAGGCCCTTTAAGGCTATTTGCTTGGCCGCCATAATATCGGGTAGAAGTTTAGAGGAGAGTCGAATGAACTAACAGTCACAACAGGATATTTATGTATTAAACTGAAATCTCAACATTTATTCAAATTAACTATTCTGATTTGCATAATTTATACAAGCAATTTAAAAAAAAAACTTGGGAACAAATATAACAAACCTGAAAAATGTGAGTGAATTTTTTAATGGATAAGTCCTAACACCTGTATTTTGGGAAGACCCTTGGTGGCCCTTCAGACACTTCTGGCTCAAGGTTCTACTCATTTTCCTGCCTCCAGTGGCTATCTTCCGAATAACAGTCCCAAATAAACCATAACAGGGCCTCAGTCACATGTAAATTGCGGACTTTCGCCACCGCCGAGAGTATCTCCCACACCGCTACACGCGGCATGGATTGGGACAAAACTAGATGGCTGAGAGTCACCAGCAAATAAAATGAAGGAAGCTGAAGGAGATGCGGTAACTGCTGCTCGTGAGTCCCAGCCATCTAGTTTAGCCCCAAGCCATGCCGCGTGTAGCTGCGTGAGAGATACTCTCAGCGGTAGTCACCGGAAGTGTGCAATTTAAGTCGCAGGAAGTCCGCAATTTACATCTGACTGAGGCCCTGTTAGGGTATATTTTCGGCCTTGATTTTTTGGGATCGTTATTCGGAAGATAGCCCCTCCAGCTATGTTTGGGTTGCTATGATGCAACAGTCCTTTTCACCATTTTTGGGCACAGGTAACCCCTGAGAAAATCTATGTAAAATTACAGAACCCATCAAACTTTCTCGAAAGCCATCAGTGAACAGCCCACATGTGCAAGAAATGCGTGAAGCAGTCTGATTGGCTAGTACGAAAACCTGCCAGCCAATATCAATGCTTCTGGCTTCTATTATTATTTGGGCAGACCAACTGGCCCAGTTGTCCTTTTGGTTTGTGTTGGGCCGATATTTCGACCACGTCGTCTCCAGAGTGTTAAGGTCCGACTTAGACTTTTTACAGAAAATGTGGTTCTTTTGTAAAATCATGAGAACCATAAATCAGATTCTGACCTATCATTGGCCAACACTCACCAGTTTTGTTTCACCCCCCTCCCCTCCCCCCAACAAACATGTCCTGTGAGATGACTAATTAGGAATGTTTCCTTCGAAGTCGGGAGTACATCGGTCTGAGAGGTTAGCACAACCAACAGTCTGAATAAAAATAAACTAGAACTAGATTTGTAAATGCATGCAAAACAGTACGTCAAGAAAAGAAGTGAATTAATAACATCTTTCTGCCAGAGTTTATAGCCGCTGAACATGAAGAAGAGGAAGCTGTACTTCATTTTAAACTGGGGAAAAAAAAAAGAAGAATGTACCTCTAGGATTGCATTCTGAAAGACTAACACCCAGTGACTCAAAGTGACACTATTTTAGGGAGAATCCTACAAAAGCAAATCCCAGAATCCCTGCATAACACAGATATTGGGCCACCCAAAGTTTACGAAGTAATCTAGTCAGATATTGACTCGGTGGGTTGACATTTTGAACTTTGTCAACCTTAGGCATAAATAACAAATATTTTGTGAACTAAAAACAGTATTAATATATTAGATAATATTGATTACTTTTTCCTTCTGGAGATTTAATTCAAGGTATCTGCATTATAATGAGCACCAGTGACTGCATTTCTCAACTGGCCAATGAGATAGCAAAAACTGTTATCAACACATACAAGAAGTTGCCGAAGAAGGGAAAGCCGCAGTCAAACAGAGAGTGGACGTTATTGTCAGGTGTTGTGATGAGCGTTAAAGGTACAGTTGTTAGTAACATTGCCAACAGACCATTGATTTTATTATCCCTTTTCTGTGCTAATTTGTATATTTAATAAACATATTTATAAATCATACATCTTCCCGTGGCACCTTATGGATGTGATTCATGGACTCATCTTATTCAATCAGTGAAGTTAAAATTTAAACAAATCCGAGCTTTTGAACTGAAATGCTACAGAAGAATTCTTAGAATACCTGTAACAAGAAGAAAAACAGTGCCAACATCCTATATGATCTGAGTATTGAGGAGAATAGTCTCATAAACAGCATCCTGTCCTGAGAGCTTAGGTATTTTGGTCATGTTAAATATCATGGTAGCCTAGAGAGAATGATGATGAAGGGTACCATTTCTAGAAAGTGACCTAGAGGCAGACCTCCATGAACATAGAAACAAGACATTGCAGATGCATTGGGTATGAAAGCACACAGGGTTGGAGCATTGGCTTGAGAAAGAGAGACCTTCAAGCATGCTGTGACGAGAGCAACGTTCTGTAAAAGACCTACTGATTGCTGAAACTGTTTATGTGTTAGTGGCAGAGCGATCAAACTGTTTGTCCAACACTCAGAAGATTAGGGATTTATTTCAGACTGCATCATTCGGTTCATGAGTGCTTTCCCTGTGTTTTTCAGGGTTCTCTTTGGAGAAAGACAGAATAGAACCCCTGCCTCCCTGTCAAGCATGTTGTAGAAACTGACTATTTAAGGGTGTTTCCTTCAGAGTTGGAGGCATCTGCCTGAGAGGCCAGAAATCAGAAATCTGCATTAAAATAAGCTAGATCTGTAAAACAACTGTGCACGCAAAACTCCAGTTCTGGATCAAGACCAAAATCCAGGAATGGATGAACCAGAACTTTCTGCCGGAGTTTACAGCCAGTGGAAACACACCTAATTAGTTGCATTCTATGGCATGCTTGTTGTGAAGGCAGTGGGTCTGTCCCCTCCAAATAAGGTGCTTCCCCTCCAAATAAGGTGCTTCCCCTCCAAATAAGGTGCTTCCCCTCCAAATAAGGTGCTTCCCCTCCAAATAAGGTGCTTCCCCTCCAAATAAGGTGCTTCCCCTCCAAATAAGGTGCTTCCCCTCCAAATACGGTGCTTCCCCTCCAAATACGGTGCTTCCCCTCCAAATAAGGTGCTTCCCCTCCAAATAAGGTGCTGGAACCCAGACGGGAAGGAGTTCAAATAAATATCCACCTCTAACCATTATAATATTTCTACTGAGTTTTTGTGTTGCTGGTTATTTCTACCCATCCACATCAACAACAAGAATTAAAGATATTCAATGCTGCATTGTATTATTTTTTTTTTTAAATAAAAATTTTGTTTGTTTGTTAATTAAACATTTTTTGTTTGTTTAATGTCGTTGGCTTTTTTCAGAAAAATCTGGAATTAAGCTGCAGACAGTGTCACTAGGTACTGGCTCTAAATGTATTGGGAAGTCCAAAATGAGTCCCAAGGGTAGGTACTTTTCACTCATCTTCCTGTCCTGTTTTAAATTTATTTTAATTTTGCATCACTTGTTTTATCAAATAAATTTTTATATTGTGTTTGCGCTGTTGCTCATGTTTCGGCAGAAGCGTTTTCTGTTTGTTAGAGTACATGATTTAACTAGGCAGTTTTACATTCATTAGTTTGCCATTGCTTCTGAATGTCCGGCTATTAATTCACTGTCGAAAACGAACAACATAAGCTGGTCTTGTGTCAAATCGCCTGCAGCTAGGATCGAACCCGGTACCTTGAAATAATGAAGTGCGTTTGCAGAGCCTAAGCCACAGACAGCAACAAGTGTTAAATACTACTGTACCCCCCCCCCCCCACCCCCTTCCCCCATACAAGAGAGAAAAGGAACAGTTAGATGAGAGCTGGGCACTTAAGAAGTACGCAGCAAGCACTTATGGCAAAGGTATAACAAACTAATTCATGTATATCAGATGGCACTAATAGATGAGAGAAAAGAAGATAGGGATAAGAAGACACACTAGACGTATACAAATTAAAAGGTGTAGTTACCATACTGTGAATCAAACATGTCGCCTCCAAGTTACAACAGTGTCTCACTGCAGGAACAAGTGTATGTTACCAACTAGACATCCCTAAAATAGGTATCATCATCATTAGCCAGGTTTACTATGAGATGAGCCAACAATTATGGAATCTGGAGGGTATCCATACCCAGTGATTTAAACAGCACTAGAAGATATAGACATTTATATTAACAAAGCATCGGTTGAGTTACAAACATATACAAACACATCAAACTGTGATGCTACATCTAGTATACAATGAACATTTACAGGAATACACTTTGGTTGTAACAATGCACTGTGTGCTGTGATAATTGGTTCTGAAAGCTCAAAACAGTAAGAGAATGCAATACCTGGTATATAGGTTTAGATGACGATGGATCAACATCTTGGCACAAGGCTAGTAACCCATAAGGGCTCTGTTCTGCTTCAACTCAAGCCCAAGTCCGAAGAATCTCAGTGTAGTGCGTGAACTCCGTAGCACCGGCAAGGATCCTGAACTACTTTAGGTAGATTTTTTTTATTTCACATTTGTGTCAGGGCAGCACCGTTAGGCTACTCTTTTCTATTTTCTAACTGTTAAGGGATTTTTTTACGTGTGTATCAATACACACAGGCGTCCGATCTTACTACCCAGAGGCTAGGAGAAATTACTAGAAGTCCACCTGAAAAATCCCAGCCTTCACCGGGGTTTGAACCAGCACTCAATGCGGAAGCCATGACCCCAGACCACGCAGCACACATATTACCTGGTAGTTATATCCTAAGAGGCAAGAGCCAATCACGCATGATTCTGTGTCTGAGAACTTCTTAAAGTTAACTGGCTGTAAATTCTGGCAGAAATGCCTGCTTGATCATCCGCTTCTGGGCTCTAACCTCATTTGAGAACTTTAGTTTTGCATGCACTTCCATTTTACAGATCTGGCTTATTTCGGTAGAGACTCTTTGGTTCCTTGTCTTCCAGGCAGATGCACTCTAACTTCGAAGGAAGTGCTTAAGATTAAAATAGGTAAAGCACCCATGAAGATTGTAGAACATTGTAAACTCAACAAGCTGCGGTGATACAGCTCTAGCTAATTCACAGGGACATTGATTCATTGTAGGTGATGTTCTCAATGACAGCCATGCTGAGGTGTTAGCTAGAAGAGCATTTCTCAGGTCAGTTTGTTACCTGTGAGCTTCTATGTCTTTCTTGCTTTTAAGGTTTTGGTTTGAAGATTTGGTTTTAGCATAGAGGAATGCACGTGGAAAAGGATGGTTGAATGGGTAGACGCATAGTTAGGTGGATGGATAGATAGGTAGGCCAATGACAGCCATGCTGAGGTGTTAGCTAGAAGAGCATTTCTCAGGTCAGTTTGTTACCTGTGAGCTTCTATGTCTTTCTTGCTTTTAAGGTTTTGGTTTTAGCATAGTGGAATGCACATGGAAAAGGATGGATGAATGGATAGACACATAGTTAGGTGCATGGATAGATAGGTAGGCCAGTAGATAGGTAGATAGATGGATGGATGTATAGATAGATGGATGGGTAGGTAGACAGACTGGTCGGTAGGTAGATAGGTAGGTAAGTAGAAAGATGGATGGATATGCAGATAAAGACATGCACACACGCTCACTTGCATACACACACATACACTGTTTTAAAAGGGTTTAGATTGAGGCATTTTGGTCCACATTACATCATGTGCTTTATTTCAGTAATCACTTGATCAGTACAATAAATATTAACATTTATCTTATAGCGTGGTTTCAATATTTCCCGTTAGCAGGTTCCTGTACACGGAGCTGGGAAAAGCATACCAGGCAACAAGTGAGGTTTTTCTCCCTCCTTCGGCAGAGCTTGGGAACCGCTGCTTGCTGCGGCCAGATGTCGCCTTCCACTTCTTCACTAGCCACACACCTTGTAAGTTATGGTACACTTTATCAGTGGTATTGTTCTTGAGAATCTGTGTCATTGTACTTCACACAAACACATGAGTGCTTAGTCTTTATGTAGCTTGTCATCACTTGTTTTTAACTTTTTGCATTTACCTCCCAGGCGTCCTGTAACTTACTCACTGTGTTCACATCTGCCCTTACCTCACAGGAGTGCTAAAATAACTATCCCATATGACTGTCTTTACCTCACAGGGATGCTCTCTGCCTCCCCAACAAGCCTGTCGTAAGAGTTGACTAATTGGAGGGCTTCCTTTGAAGTCTGAGTGCGTCTGCCTAAGAGGTAAGGAACCAGCTATCTGCATACAGATGTCTGATCTGTAAAACGTGATGTGTACGCATCACTTAGGTTCTGGAACAAGCTAAAGTGCAGAGGTGGATGAACAACCAGATATTTTGTCTGCAGTTTACAGCTGGTGAATGCGCAGAAGAAGAAAAAGGTATTAAATTAGATTTGATTATAGTGTATTATAGTAAATTCAGTTATAGCAGCTTAGATTAGACAGGGCACCACAGAGATCAGTGTTATACAGATACAGCGGTAACAGATCCAGAGGTTGACCACTCAAAATCTGGACCGCAAAAATATCAGAGACACTGAAAAGTACTTTATATGAAGCAAACAGTAAGGCCCATTCCAGAGATCCCTTCCTGAGCTGACGCCGAGAGACATTCCAGGAGTTTTTGTTATCGATCCAGCGGCGCATGAGCTTTCACCCTCTGGCCCAGCATTCCAGGAGTAGAGAAAATAATAGATTAGATTATATTATCATCATCATGTAGCAGGTCTTTTGCAGAACATCGCTCTCATCACAGTCTGCCTGAAAGAAACTCGGTCTCTGGCCAGTTCTCCTGCCTCATGCACTTTCACACTCAAAGAGTCACTTATATCCTGTGCCCATCTTCGTGTCGGTCGGCCCCTGCCCCTCCTTCCTGGTACCGTGCCTTCTGCTATAATTTTTTCCAATCCGTCGTGGCGCTTGATATGACCAGAATATTTCAGCTTTTGATAAAGGATGCTGTTTATTAGCCAATCTTCCTTGATGTTCAGATCTTTTAAGATGTCAATATTTCTCATCTTCTCTAGATTAGATTATATAGTATGTTAAATATCACATCCACCCACGCTGGGCTGCAGCTTATTCCATCACCTTAAGGTGCCCTGATTAAACTGTTTCTTGGATTTTTATTTCATTGTCACCATTCTCCAAATGATAGCTCTTTGAGTCACTAGCTTTTAATCTTTCAGGCCACTATCCCAAAGACGGAAATTAATGTAGATTTATAATTTTGATTTCTAAACACAGATTTCATTTATTTAATTTTGGGGGTGTTTATATAAACCATGTATCAAATTAAGATATGACCTGTTTATTATGTTAGGTTTGTGTAACTGCTTTAATATTCTTATTTTTTTATTTTATTTGATGCTCATTTGTCAATATTTTTCTTTGGCTAAGGTGGAGATGCTTCCATTTTCCCTAAACAACATGAATGTGGCCGTAAGAAAGATTCACAGCAAGATGGCCCCCACCACTCTTTTGAGAATATTCATGTGATTGGATCTGAACAACATACAAACAAATCATCTTCTTTTAGCAGACGCAAGACTGGGGATAATTCAGCACAGTTTGTGACATTGCAAGACTGTCACAACTTGACAGGAGCTGTTGATTTGATTTTACAGGACATTCCTGAATGTAAAGATCTGTCTTTAGATTCTGAACATCTTCATTGTAGAGAAACAAACAGTGAGATGCATTCACTTAATACTATGGATTCTAACAATTTCCGAAATCACACTGATGAAAACAAAAAGTTACTTGCACACAGTACCGCAGATGTTGGGAGTGCTTCCAACAACAGTGCCTTGGATGCTGGGAGTTTTTCCAGCAACAGTACCGTAGATGCTGGGAGTTCTTCCATCACAGAGCTAGCAGGCATCAGGCATAATGCACCCACAGAGGATTCTACCATCTCTTCTGTGCCTGTGACAGTGTCTCGGAAAAGAACTTTTGAACACAACAAATCATACACATTAGAAGACGGCTATGATAATATTGGTGACGTCTGTGTTAAAGTGAGGAAAGTGAGCAAGGATCTCACTTCTGGTGATGAATTCTCAGAAAATGTAGGTAAGGATCGGTCTTGTCTGTGAACTGTATTTCTCTTTTCACGGACCTAAACCTGTTTAACATGCATTATTTGTATTCTTTGTGGATTGCGTGCGAGCGTGCGCTCTCTTTTTAATTAGTATGAAAAGTTTTTCTTTTACAGAGCACAAAACATGTGTACCTTGATTCTAATTATACCTGATGATTTGTTCACATCTTAGACTTTAAACCTGAAGACAACTTATCACAAACATCAGAAAAAAGTCAGTCCTCAATTTGGTTTGGGTCATGTATGAGAAAGAGGAAACTGTGACATGTTGTGAACAGTGGAAAGATATGAAAGCAGAAAGAGATAGAAGAAGACAGCACAATATGATTCTTGACATCGTTTTATCCTGGTTTGTAGTGGTGTCAGCACATGAACAGATTCATGCTGTTAAAGGTCACAGGTTGTGGAGAGAGATGATCGCCCACTTCAGTCAGCGAAGCACTTGGTGATGATGAGACTTTAACTCTTTCGGTACCAAGGAAAACATAATGTGTTGATTTATATCTGATTTAAGTGTCCCGTGGTACCAAAAAAGTAGACTTTAAACCCAAAGACAACTTATCATAAACATCAGAAATTGTTATTGGGGGTCATAAATGAGAAGAAGGAAATTGGGAAATGTTGTGACCAACAGAGCAGGACGATTCTTGACAGCCTTTTCTCCTGCAGGAAGGGGTGTCTACGTTTGTGGAGAGGCATGATTGCCCACGTCGGTCGGCAAGGCACGTGATAATGATGATGAGACTTCAACACTTTCGGTACCAAGGAAAACATAATGTGTTGATTTATTGTCTAATTACCATATGTCCCAAAGACATCCTCTTTAATGAGTGGGTAGAATATTTTCCATAAAGGAAAGACAAAGATAATGAGAATAAATCAGGCAAATAGTAATGTGGTTTCTCTTAATGGCACCCCACTCCAAGACGTGGAGTCGTACACCTATTTAGGCAGTAATGTAGATAAAGATGGAGGAACTGATAGAGATATTAAAATAAGAATACAAAAGGCAAGAGGGGCTTTCATAGCACTAGGGAATTTGTGGAGGTCAAAAGAAATTAAAAGAAATACTAAACTAAAAATTTTTAATTCTAATGTCAAATCAGTACTATTGTATGGGGCGGAAACATGGAGAACAACCAAGGCAATTACTAATAAATTACAGACATTCATTAACTGGTGCCTGCGCAGAATAGAGGGAATAAAATGGTATGATAGAGTAACTAATGTAGAACTTTGGGAGAGAACTAAACAGGCTCCAGTGGATCAGAAAGTGAGGAAAAGACGCTGGCGTTGGATAGGGCACACACTGAGAAAACAGCATTACTAGAATGTCTTTGCATTGGAACCCACAGGGGCATAGGAATAAAGGAAGGCCAAAAAACACATGGAGAAGAGAGCTGGAGAACGAGGTTAGAAAGATGGGGAGGACATGGGGAGAGCTCCATGCAATGGCGAAGGATAGAACGACTTGGCGTGAGTTGGTTGAGGGCCTATGCTCCATTGGGGGATAGAAAGGCAGAAGAAGAAGAAGAAGAATATTTCAAGGCCGACCTCTGCTACGATATAAACATGTGTGCAAATAGGATATAAATGATACATTGAGGTGGTGTCATGGGAACAAAATACCATGGACCAAATTGTGTGAAGGGGCACATCAGAATGAGAATGAATGAAGAAATAATTAGCAAAAGGGATGAGAGCCGAGCATCTAAGAAGATACATACTAAATACAGATACTGACAACAATGGTCCTGAAATCACATGCTATAATTGTGGAAAACTTTTCTCAACGTGGGCGGGTCTTGCTAGTCACACTCGCCATCACCATGGATGGTTGAGTCCCATGCCTCCCCATAGCACAGTATAACAGTATTATATGGAAAGGTGCCAGTGATGAGGTGCCAGAAAAGTTAAGGGTCTTGTCCTGGATGGCACACCAACAGGGTATATCCCACATACCCTGTACAGCTTCCAGAGATGTTATAATTAGGCCCTGCAACAGCTACAGCAGCCGGTGTAACCTGCAGTTCACTGCAGGCAAAGATACGCCTGATGATTCTTCTGTAGCTACATAAGCAAAATTCACTATGTGATCATAATAAAGGAGATATTAATTGTTAATATGATTGTTTTCTTCCATAATACCTAGACGGAGCTGTCCACGATGTTTACAGGACCGGAGCAAAGTGTGTGCCCGGTGACGTTCAAGACCCTCTGGCTCCAGCGTCCCGGTATCACACAGTGGGACTACTGAGGACCAAGCCTGGCCGGGGAGAAAGGACTGAGAGCATGTCGTGTAGTGACAAGATAGCCAGGTGGAATGTGCTTGGATGCCAGGGGGCGCTGTTGTCACATTTTATGGCAAAACCTTTATACTTTTCCATCATTGTTGTTGGCAAGTACGATGTTTTAAACTCGTAAATTGTTCTCCACTGCATTTAATCGTCCTGTTGTTCTTCTTCAGCCTTTGATCTCTCGGTGGAGCTTATCTGACAACAGGCTGGAGTCAGTCTGCCTGATATGCCAGGAACCAGTAGTCTGAATACAGGCAAGCCAAATCTGGAAAACGGATGTGCAAGCAAAACTCAAGTTCTGGAGCAAGATTCAATTCCAGAGCTGGACGAATAACTAGAACTTTACGCCACAGTTTACAGACGGTGAACACACATATAAAGCCAGGACAAATTAATACTGACATTGTTTACTGCATGTGACCTTGATAGCTGCTTCTGGTTGCAGATCAGGAAAACACTGCAGGGGTCCAAAGAGCCATATTCTAAATGTCAAGTAAAGAGCAGATTCCTGATTCCTTGTTCAACCTTTTGAAAGTGGTTATAATTTGAGGCCATCATAGCTAATTTTCAACCAGATGACAGATTGGATTGAGAGGCGGAGGCTCATCATTACCTACATTCTGTAAATAGAGGCTGGGTAACAGTTGAGGAATGGAGCAGATGATTTCATCTTATTCCCCCGTATGGGTTTGCGGGCCCCTTAATGGGGAACAAAAAGAATAAATCCACTGCTACCCCAACAAGCATGTCATAAGAGTAGACTAATTAGAAATGTTCCTTCGAAGTCGGAGTGAATCTGCCTGAGAGGCAAGGGACCAACAGTCTCCCTAAATATAAGCCAGATCTGTGAAAGGATGCACATGTAAAACTTAGGTTCTGGGATAAGACTAAAGTCCAGAAGTAGATGAATAACTGGAACTTTCTGCCAGAGTTCACAGCCGGTGAACGCTAAGAAAAACAAGAAATTGCATTTCATAAAGCCACTATAAGTATGTATCACCACAGTAGCCTCTAATATTAGCTTACCTAAAACCTATATGTCACAGGTGTCCTTACAGTGTTGAAGCATTGCGACGTGCTGTGATATCTAGAGTTATCCCCCTGACTCCAGCATTATCTCCCCCTTTTCACGTCAATGAGCCAGTGTTGGTACAGTCTGGAGACCATGAATTTGAAGCCAGTCGTGACCTGGTCGAGCAGACCAGACTTGAGGCAGCACAGACACCAGGTATCAGCAAGGTTGTACCTTCAGCTTCAGGTAATGCACCTTTTGTTTTGTTTGATGGTATTATTTTTAGATGTTGTGGTTGCCTCTTACTGTGCCAGTCTTATTGTTTCTTAAGCAAGTTAACAGATACAACTATTTAGGAACAGTCCTGCTAGCTGCTTTGCAGAAAATAGAACAACAGTCAGTATGGCTAAGGTGGTCTTTAACAAGTTGCAAAAGATTCTCACCAACAAGATGTCACTTGCAGTGAGAAAAAGACTGTTGAAGTGCTATGTAGAATCTGTGTTGTTATATGCACGTGAAACATGGACAGTAAACAGACAAACTGAAAAACGTTTAATCGTGGCAGAGATGTGGTTTCTGAGAAGAAGGCAAACAATATTATGGAAGGATCAAATAACAAATGAAGCAGTTCTCATTGTGATGAAGGTTGCAAACTTATTAGAACAGTTAGCTAGATGGTCAATATTTTTTGGACATGTTGTGAGAAGAGGCGCACTCAGGAACTTGGCAACAATTGGCAAGATTGATGGAAAGAGAGAGGAGGAAGGCAAAGAGATAAATACCTGGATGGCCTGGCCAGATGGATGTGGGCAAGACAAAGGCATGATCTGTGATTCTGATGTTTGTGTGAGTGGGTGAAACATGACAGCCTAAGCTTACCAGCACGGCACATGATGACGATGATGAGTTTTTTTTTCTAAATGTTTACCAGCTGTAAAGTAAAAGTAACAAAAAAATAAAGGACCCTTTTCCCTAGGCATATAGGGCTAGACCTATATTTTATAGACCAATGGCACAAGATGGGTGATGTGGTCAGCATCACGCCGGCCGCCTCTACTCCGGGGACTGCACCCGGTACCCACTCAAGGCTGGGTCGACCTGGAAGCCAATGTCATTCTTGAAGAAAATTCCGGCTCCATCAGGGAGCGAACCCACGACCTTCCAATCCGCAGAGAGCGTCTAGCAGCTCTGCCACGGCTGTAAACGCTGGTGGAAAGCTCTTGCTGTCTACTTGTAGACTGGTCTTGTTGCAGATTTTGAGTTTTGCATGCATATTCGTTTTACAGATGTGGCTTATTTGAATGCCCTCCCTCCAAATGGGCCCTGGAATCCACATGAAGGTTAGTTGCGTATCCTTTACAGGACTTTGCAGAACCAACCCTAACAGCCCCTGGCATTTGTGTGGTTTCTCTAGGCAAATTTACGTCCAGTAGTTTGCCATTACTTTCTGGATGGTCGGCTTTCTTGATACCACTGTCGAAACCAACGCAAGGCGTGTGGCCCGCAGCTGGGATTGAACCCAGCATTAGGAAGCATTTGCATCAAATTAGCCACAAAGCCGACGGAATCCACATGGGGAGTTTATTTCAAGCTGAGACTGCTTGTTATTTAGATACATTATCATCACAATGTAGAAGGTCCTTTGCAGATCATCACTCAGGTGACTTGTTAGAAAGGTACTCAGTTCCTTCCCAACTTTTTAACCTCGTGAGCTTTCATGCCCAGGATATCCTTGAAATCCTTAGTCCATATTCACGCTGGTCAGCATCTGCCCTGTTGAAATATGGTATCCATTAATTTCTCACCGTCTTGAGGTGATTTGACCCCCTAAACTTCTTCTTATAGTCCATATCCTGTGGCGTTGGTATCAAGTCTGTCCACAACCTTCTGTCTCTTGTACTTTCAATGAGATCTGTCACAGATGATCTCCCATGCCAGGTTGTCAAACTGTCCAACATCTTCTCTCTCAACCTCCCATTGCCTCTTTCCCCCTTTCCCACTGTCATGATGTAATCCGGTTTCTCATGACATGAACAAAAAATGTAGATCTTCTGATGTGGGCAATCAGTTCTCTTCATGAGTCAGTTTCTTTCAAGACATCTTCATTTCTGTTTTTATCTGTCCAAGGTATTCTCATCATTTGTCTATTAAAAACATTGTAATTCAAACCTGATTTTTTCAGTATGGCAGTGAATATTGAAATGTGAATGAACAAACTGCTGGATCTCCGAGCTGAATTTGAAAGTTCATATTCTGACTTCACTTTTAGATTCATTCATAGGACCTGTATATGGAACCCACTATCGGCTCCTATATTGAAGGCATATCATCCAGTCTCAAATTTTCACTTATTTCAGCAATCTCATGGTACTTGTCTTCCGAAACTGACTCTGCCAACCACGATGTCACTGTAAATGGCCGCAGACAAGGCATCACAAAGAGTGATATTCACAAACCTCAAGCTAGGTAAGCTGTCACAGACTCAGAAAAGTCACATGTTAAATATTTATTGTCTTTACACGCTCACACGTGTACATAAACACACACATGTACACAAACACACACATGTACACAAACACACACATGTACACAAACACACACATGTACACAAACACGTACACAAACACACACACATGTACACAAACACACACATGTACACACATGTACACAAACACACACATGTACACAGACACACACATGTACACATGCACACAAACACACAATGTACACACACACATATGCATAAACACACACATATACACAAAAACACATGTGCACATGCAGACACATGTACACAAACACACACATGTACATAAACACACACATGTACACAAACACACACATGTACACAAACACACACATGTACACAAACACACACATATGTACACACACACACACGTACACAAACATGTACACAAACACACACATGTGTACACACACACATGTACACAAACACACACATGTACACAAACACACACATGTACACAAACACACACATGTACACACACATGTACACAAACACACACAGTGTACAAAAACACACACATGTACACAAACACACACATGTACACAAACACACACATGTACACAAACACACACATGTACACAAACACACACATGTACACACACATGTACACAAACACACACAGTGTACAAAAACACACACATGTACACAAACACACACATGTACACACACACACACACATGTACACACACAGTGTACACACACATACATGTACACACGCACACACATTTACACAAGCACAAACATGTACATAAACACACACATGTACACACACACATATACATAAACACACACACATGTACACAAAAACACACGTGTGCAAATGCAGACACATGTACACAAACACACACATGTATACAAACACACACACATGTACACAAACACACACATGTACACACACACACACATGTACACACACACACACATGTACACACACACATGTACACAAACACACACATGTACACAAACACACACAGTGTACACAAACACACACATGTAGTGTACACAAACACACACATGTACACACACATGTACACAAACACACACACATACACACACATGTACACAAGCACACACATTTACACAAGCACAAACATGTACATAAACACACACATGTACACAAACACACACATGTACACAAACACACACATGTACACAAACACACACATGCACACATAAATACAGAATCTAGTTATAATCTTCTGCAACCTATAGATACTGGCCAGGTTTTTGTCTAGGTAGCGGTCCCCTCCAACAGTCCATACATCTGCTTTCTAAAAGTCCGGCATGTTTAGATGCAAACAGTTTAGCTTGGTTGGCAACCTGGTTTTGAATACGGCTCATCCAGGTCCAATTAGAAAACAAAGACCAAAAACAAAAGAATGTCAGATTCTTGAAGTTTTATTGGAAGGAGAAATTGATATGTAAGTTGTTTACTTTGAACTGCATGTCTCATCTGGCTAGTGTGTACAGTGAAGAGGTACATGGCTGTTTGGAAAACCCTTTTTGTTTTTTGTTTTTGTGTTTCAGAAGTTCTGTCTGCAGTCTATCCTTGTTTCAATGCTTCCATGCTCTACTGCAAGGAATAGAAACAGTTTCAAGACCCGCTACTCTCAGGTAGTGTATTATTGTAATGTCATGACTGGTGGACATATCCTGGCTACTAAGCTGTAGGCAGTTGGGTTCCTCAACCTTTGATATTGCATAATCGTGTCAATCGCAGTCACACAGGTGATGTTCTTCACACATGATTGATTAGATTTTGCGGCTTAAATTGTTTGTAGGGTAGTCTCTTCCATGCCCATTCTCTATAGCTGTCTTTTATGAGATGTATAATGGGTTTATAGATTAATATTTGTTTGCATGCTTCTATGATGGAGTTTTGTAAGACCCATCCAGGCCTCAGAGCAACTGGAGCATCAGCGAAGACCAAAATGTAAAGTAGGGCCAAACTTGATGACAATCTTTTCTACTGTATGCTTTTAAAAAAAAAATTTTTTTTAAATTTGTAATTATTTGAAAAATTGCAAGTTCATCATTTTACTCTTGTAAGTAGTGATTCGTACCTGCCCAGCTTAGGTCAGAAATTTCTATGAGGCTTTCAGTCTAACATGGCAGTCCATTGAGGTGTTGTTATGGTATGGTATACAAATGGTGTTTTGACATATGGACTGGTGTCCATGATTTTGTATTCTAAGCAGCTTGCCTAAGTGCTTGATGTAACACTGTGGGCTGTGTAATTCATGTGAAATATCGTTCATCCATGCCCTTCACAATTCATTTAAGGATATTCAGAAAATGGAGAAGAGCCTGTTTGTATTATAGTTGTTAGTGTGTCTTGTGCACACAATTTTTGTTTCTGCAGCCAACTTGTCTTGACTCACTACTTCTAATAGTGATCAGTTACTGTTCTGGGGATAACTATTTGTAATAGCCCATTAACGGCTGCCTTCTGCATTTACTGCCTGTGCATTTTTCGGGACTTTGCCAGGACCACTTGTTTGTTTACTAGTTTTCATATCACGCAGCTGCCAGCTAGTGGCAGACAAACCAACCCCCCCCCCCCCCCCCCCCCCCCCCGACTAGACTCCGCTGAATGTGCAGAAAAAGCCAATACTTGGTTCAACGGACCTGATAGCGGGTACCATCAACTCGTTGTGGAGCGCAAAGAGCACGGTGCAGCATGTAGAACACCCTGATCATCCACAGCACCTGACTTCACCCCCAGCCATTTCGACTTATCTCGCCACATGTCAGATTGATACAGGAGTAAGATCGACGTAATTGTGCAACTCTTCCTCACTTTAAACAGATTTATCGCGCTAGTCATTTTTCATGACGGATGAAAAAAAAGAGTGGTCCTCATCACTTGTGATGGACTAATGAACTAAGTTTTTAAACGGGACAGTGAAGGGTGGGCGTTTTATAGGATTTTCACTGGCTGGATAGCCACAGTTGTTCAGCAGGTAGACGCTCACCTGCGGATGGGAAGGTCATGGGTTCGGGTCCTGCTGGAACCAGACTTATTGTTCAAAAAGGACCTTGTCTCTCAGATCGACCCAGTCTAGAGTAGGTACCAGGTACAGCCCTGGGAAGTAAAGGCGGCCGGTGTGATGCTGACCACATCACACACCCAGTGCCGATTGGTCTGTGAAATATAGGTCTAGCCCTATATGCCTGAAAGTATGGAAATGGATCCTTTGCTTTTTTTTTTTTACTTCCACTGGCATGGAAATGAGGCAATTATGGGTGACCTATTTTGCAGTGAAGTTGAAACCTCAACTACCAACTACATTTCCCTGAATCAAGCAGTGAGGGAAACTTGATGGTTCCAGATAACACACACAAGGGAAAACCTGTGGTTCCTCCCTAGCAAGCATCTCATAACAGTCCACTAATTAGGGGTTTTTCTTCAGAGTACATCTGCCTGAAAGGCCAGGATACAACAGTCTGCTAACAAATAGGCCAGTCTGTAAAACTCATCTGCTTGTGAAACTCAAGTTCTGGAAAACGACTGAAGTCCATTAGTGGGTGAACAACCAGAACTTTTTCCACCAGAGGAAGTGGAGAAGAAAATGTGGATGGAAAATGTTTGATTGGCTATTTGATTTTTAAAACATAATATTTACAGATAACTTTATTATAAACTATTTTTGTATTTGTTATCTTCGAAGCAGCAGAAGTGAGGAGCTGAAGACCTTGACCTACAGTGAAACAAAATTGTTGTCAAATGAATATCAGACAACATGGGCAGAATTAAGAAACTCTGTTTTCAGAACATGGATTGTAAAGCAAAGAGATTTATTGCAGTTTTATGTAAATGAATAAACTTATATTAACAAAGCAGTTGATTTGTGGTCAATCTCATTTGAATGAATGATTCATTATTGTGCATATGTGATTGGGTAAAATCAATATATGACTGAGTAATCAGAAGTGTTGATGTCTGCGTCTTAAAATAATGTGGTTAAGCAAGAAATATGACTCGCTGGACAAAACATCTGGTTGAGCAAGAAATATGACTCAATGGACAAAACATGTGGTTGAGCAAGAAATATGACTCACTGGAGAAAACATGTGGTTGAGCAAGAAATATGACTCACTGGACAAAACATGTGGTTAAGCAAGAAATATGACTCAATGGACAAAACATGTGATTGAGCAATAAATATGACTCAATGGACAAAACATGTGATTGAGCAAGAAATATGACTCACTGGACAAAACATGTGGTTAAGCAAGAAATATGACTCAATGGACAAAACATGTGATTGAGCAAGAAATATGACTCACTGGACAAAACATGTGGTTAAGTAAGAAATATGACTCAATGGACAAAACATGTGGTTAAGCAAGAAATATGACTCTCTGGGCAAAACATGTGGTTAAGCAAGAAATATGACTCACTGGAGAAAACGTGGTTGAGCAAGAAATATGACTCGCTGGACAAAACATGTGGTTAAGCAAGAAATATGACTCGCTGGGCAAAACATGTGGTTGAGCAAGAAATATGACTCAATGGACAAAACATGTGATTAAGCAAGAAATATGACTCGCTGGGCAAAACATGTGGTTGAGCAAGAAATATGACTCGCTGGACAAAACATGTGGTTAAGCAAGAAATATGACTCGCTGGACAAAACATGTGGTTGAGCAAGAAATATGACTCGCTGGACAAAACATGTGGTTAAGCAAGAAATATGACTCGCTGGACAAAACATGTGGTTGAGCAATAAATATGACTCGCTGGACAAAACATGTGGTTAAGCAAGAAATATGACTTGCTAGACAAAACATGTGGTTAAGCAAGAAATATGACTCGCTGGACAAAACATGTGGTTGAGCAAGAAATATGACTTGCTGGACAAAACATGTGGTTGAGCAAGAAATATGACTCGCTGGACAAAACATGCGAATGATATGACAGGATGTGTACATGATGGAGCCAGGTGTTTGAGTTGTTGATCAGGCATCATGGACTTAATTGGAAGAAAACGTTGGAGATGTTTCTAAGTAAGATACATGTTCACACTGCATGGTGTGTTCCATATGTGGTACTAGTCCTAGTTTTATAAAGACCTACCAGCACTGAATGGGTTGCACTTTACAAGAGGCCAAACATCATCATCATGTAACAGGTCCTTTGCAGAACATCGCTCTAATCATGGTCTGCCTGAAAGAAACCCGATCTCTCACCAGCTCTCCCAACCCATGTAATTTCGTACTCAAGGAGTCACTTACAACCTATGTCCATCTTCATGTTGTTCGGCCCCTGCCACTCCTTCCTGGTACCATGCCTTCTGCTTTTATTTTTTTTTCCAATCCGTCATGGCGCTTGATATGACAGGATGCTGTTTAATAGTCAATCTTCCTTGATGTTCAGATCTTTCAAGATGTCAGCAAGGAATAGACAGGAGACACCAGCCTCAGTAAAACTGTTTTAAACGGCTGAACAAGGCTACTAGGATTCGTTCATGTCAGATTTGCATCTACAAAAATGGCTGTTTGAATCACTTGGTGTCTGTCAAGCTTAGATGGAGAGTATATGTTTTTTAAATGAGCCATATTTGTAACAAACTCCACAATTTGTATGCATGTTCCAACTGGAAGTAGGTTGCTGTGAGGGTTTTTGGAACGCCTTTAGGGGGGAGGGGGGGGGGGGTCCACAACTCCCCCGTCCCCCATCGTGCATATCATTAAAGGGGACCAATTAGATGTGGATCCTTTAACCTCGTAGGAACCAACAGTCTGTATAAAAAAAAAAAGATAGGTGGACATGCAGAGCTTGAGTTTTGCAACAAGACCAAAGTCCATGTGTAGGAACAACCAGAACTTTCCACCTGAGTTTACAGCTGTGTCTGCGAAGACGAACTAGGAATGAGAGAATCTCACAGGTATGCACATTTTCTTCCCTCCTTTTAGTGGTATAGCCTAACGTAATCTAGCAAGTGCAACCACCAACGTTTTCTCTACTTTGTGTTGGAAGAATAGCTTTGCCTTAGCAACTTTTCCTCTCTTCAAATCACGATGTTATATGGGGCTAGAGGGCTTTCGTGGTCTCATTGCATGGTGTGAGCCTTGAGTGCTAGAGGTTCCGGGTTAAATCCATGCGTAAGGGCTGGGATTTTTCCCATAAACTTGGACTTCTAGTAATTCCCTTTGGTCTCTGGGGAGTGAGATCTGCATTGCTGAGCACGTAAAAAAAATCCCTTGGCAGTTGGAAATAAAAAAGAGTCGCCTAACGGCACTACGGAGTTCGTGCACTGCGCTGAAATAATTCGGTCTCAGGCTTGAGTTAGAAGTAGAACGGAGCACTTATGGGTTACTACTCCTGTGCCATGATGTTGATCTGTCGTCTAAACCTAAACATGTGTTAAGATACAGAGGTAGAGAGAGTTCACAGCAAGAATAAGAGGCGAAGAAAGAGAACTTTAATTGTACAGAAGGCACGAAATGATTCTTTCCATTCATTTAAAAAAAAAAATGTAAAGTCGGGAGATGTGAACCAGCGTCATTGCACGCGGTTATAAACCATAAGTGCTCTGCCACCAGTACGGACAGCCGATAAGAATTGTCCGCCTGTGTCGCCGTCCGCACGTAACTGACTAACTCTGTGGCTACAGCGACGTTCCTCCATTTACCCCAGAAGGTCAACTCTTGTACCCATTTCCTAGAGGCTGGGTGAACCCCGGAAGCCGCCCGGTTTCGAACACCGACCGTGGGCTGCGCTAACGCGGCCCCAATTTAAAATCTGAGGCCAGTTCCTAGTTTTTTTGTTTAGAACTCTCCGCGAAAAGAGATAGAATGTGCTCCAACGTTGGCAGAGGTGATCAGCAAATGTGCAACGGTCAAGTCTGGATGCAGCTTCAGTACAATTTTTGTAGGTGCCCTTTCTCTCTTTCCTCCATCTGTTCTTGTGATTTGAATAATTCATTCAGACCTCTGTAAGAAAAATAAAAAAGAACCTTAAATCTTTGCAACTTGCTTTTTCAAGTACTTATATTTATTTGGAGACAGAGTCGGATGTTCCTACATTTCCATTTTTAATCCCCTCCCACCTCCAGATTTGCATTGTTATCAGTTCTGCATGTAGAATTAACATCTCAAGTATGAGAATCAAACAGGTAAAACTAGCGGAAACCTCGTTCGAGCATTTAGCTAAAAAGCGGAGTTATATTGGGGTACCAACCATAATTAGTACTGTGTCCGCGGATTACATCTGTCTAGGACGGTCAGAATAACTCGGAAAATTAGCACTCATGATAGTGATAGACAACAGAAAACAGAATAAATAGGAATAAATCAAAAATAAAACAAGGTTACATCACAATAAGATTGAAGCGAAAATTCCTACTATCTAGTATGCATGCCTCTCAGTCCTGGACATTGAGTGAATTCATACAGGTACCACACAAAACATAACGGAAAAGGGGGGAGGCGGGGGCAACCCTTAAAAATTTATGTTTAGTGGTTTCAGTGGGCTGGAGCCTCTAGGTTTCAGCACTTATAACTGCTTGGGAAGAACAGTTAGTGTGGCTGAACTATTTGCTGTGGGTATTATTATTGACCGAGCTGACATCCAAACCATTAGTTTAGCCATAATGAGAATTTTGGGTGAGTTAATCAATAGTCAGAATGTAAACATTTTTGACTAAAAAAGCAGCGAGTGAGGGAGAAGCTTATTGGCTGACACAGAATAGATGCAGAGGTGTATTTGTTGTGAGAAAAATCAGAGCCTCTATGGACTATAATCTCAACTAAACCAGAGACAGATCAAGGTCGGATAAAGGAACAGAACTGGATAAAAGATCCATTGAAAGCTATAGGCAGACTGTATTCTAACCTGTTATGTTATTGTTTATGTTAGCACTCCTTATTATAGTGAATACTATCAGTTCCTTGTTATAGTTGTTACTTGTCGCAGCAGCTTCTTGTTAGTTATCAGTTATCCTAGTAACATCTTGTTATAACTGTTGGCTATCCTATTCTCGAATAATGGGCACATATTATGGCGGCCAAAAAACAGGGCCTCAGTCACATATAAATTGCGAACTTCCGGCGACTTAATTTGCGGACTTCCAGCGACTACCGCCACCGCCGAGAGTATCACCTGAAGTTTGCAAAACAAGTAGCCGGAAGTGCGCAATTGACATGTGACTGAGGCTCTGTTAGGGTGTTTTTGCGGTCGCCATAATATGTGCCCATTATTCGGTGGATAGCCTAACTGTTATTTGCCTTGGTATCTACATTTCCTAGTAACTGTTTGTCCTGGTATCTACATTTCCTAGTAACTGTTTGTCCTGGTATCTACATGTCCAAGTAACTGTTTGTCCTGGTATCTACATGTCCAAGTAACTGTTTGTCCTGGTATCTACATGTCCTAGTAACTGTTTGTCCTGGTATCTACATGTCCTAGTAACTGTTTGTCCTGGTATCTACATGTCCTAGTAACTGTTTGTCCTGGTATCTACATGTCCTAGTAACTGTTTGTCCTGGTATCTTCATGTCCTAGTAACTGTTTGTCCTGGTATCTACATGTCCTAGTAACTGTTTGTCCTGGTATCTACATTTCCTAGTAACTGTTTGTCCTGGTATCTACATTTCCTAGTAACTGTTTGTCCTGGTATCTTCATGTCCTAGTAACTGTTTGTCCTGGTATCTACATGTCCTAGTAACTGTTTGTCCTGGTATCTACAAGTCCTAGTAACTGTTTGTCCTGGTATCTACAAGTCCTAGTAACTGTTTGTCCTGGTATCTACATGTCCTAGTAACTGTTTGTCCTGGTATCTACATGTCCTAGTAACTGTTTGTCATGGCATCTGCTTGTC